GGCCTTTGTGACGTCATGAAAATAACTTAATCTAGGCCTACTTGATTGTATTATGTCTGCATTATTCTATTATTGTCAATTTTGCGCTGAACGGCTTCTAATAGAATTTAATTTATATTCACCAGATATAAATGAATGTGACCTGGAACTTTTATGTGATACAGTTGAGAACAAGAAATGCAAGAATACTAAAGGAAATTACACGTGTGTATGCATGACAAACTTTGTGGCAGTGGATGGTATATGTATTGGTAAGATTAAATGCTGCTACTAACTAGTTTATGTTGTTTTTGATACATCGCTTCAGGTCTACAAAACGATCATCTCAAAGCGCTTCTAAAGTAAGCGTTGTATACGAGAGACAATTTATGATGATGACGACGATGATGAGGAGGAGGAGGAGGAGGGGGAGGTTGATGATGACGATGATGATAACTGTATGATATCTCACGAGTTTACTACAATGCTCACAGATGAACTAAAACACAAATAATGTATAGTCAGAACTATTTGACAATAAAGTTTAAAAACGTAGACATTTTTCCTGTGTACTACATTCAGAAATATTTCTTTTCAATTAGATGCACTAACCATATTTCTGGTAGTGAACTTTACAGACATCAAGGGAGCAGTCGTGAGTTTAATACCAAATATCTTGGATTCTGATATCAGTCGGAAAGATCTTGCAGATAACGTATGTTATAGTTGAATGAATATTTTATTATTATTATTATTATCATTTTAACAAAAAAAATGTTTAGCAGTCTATCTATTGGCAAAGCCAGCCAATAGAATATAGAGTATGCCCAGGCCTGTAGAGGTAGAAAGGGTGCGGACACACCCCAAATTTAAAAAGTTCCGTATTTATAACATTACTTAACTATTCATTCCAAATTATCGCATTGTACTAAATAGTTTTTGCATTGCATTTACTTGCATTTATTTTTAAAAACTGTGGTACGAAATTAGTTGGAAATTGATCAGCTTCTGCAGATTTTTCAATATGACTAATGTTACCTGTAGGCCTACAGATGTAAAGGACATAAAACGTTAGTTCTTCAGGTCTCTAACAAAACCCAAATGAATGAAAATTTAAATAAAATATTCACAAATTATGGGTTTCAGAAATCCATTATATAAGGTCCTCTATTTGCTTATAGCAACATCGGGGTCTTTGCCCCTAAACCCTAGCAGGGCTCTGCCCCTGCATCACGCCGTGGCCCCTGGCAGCCCCCAGTCCCCAACTTAAGTCTCGCTTCGCTCGCTAAACGCAACCCCCCCCCCAATCGAAAATTCTGCCTACGGGCCTGATGACAGAGAAAAGTTGAAATTAGAGTTTGAATGTTGGTGGATTGTATAAAATTTTAATTTATTTTGATCAGGTGTATGATCTTTTGAAGTCTACAAGCCTCAGTAACTCAGTATTACAAGCAAGCGTAGATTCCTACAGGCAGGTTTATCCATTTGTAGAGGTAACCCTCAGAATCGATCTGCCAGTATCAACGAATGCTACAATGAATGATATTGCTGAAGCATTTTTTGGTGGTTTAACCGGAGCAGATAACACACAATTACCACCGGACAACGTTGTCGATACTTCATCTTGGGCTTCTATGATGCCTGGTATGCATATTGTATTTATTTTCATTATCATTATCTTGGATTTTTTTCCCCATTGTGCACATTCAGTTGATATTACAAATGCTTGTATTAGCACTGAAATATACAAAATGATATAATAAAAATAATAATATAATAATATCCGGTAATAATACAGTAGAACCCCTATAAAGGGGACACTTTCGAGACCAAAAAGTGTCCCCTTAATAGGGTTGTCCCAAAGGAGGGGTTCTACTGTAGTTGTAATGAGGAAATTACAATGAAAATATCAATAACTAACCATAACATATGCAATAACAATAACATCAGTAACAGAAACATTAATATATACGAATACAGTCGTACTATATTTTTGCCAGGTTCGCTTTTTTCACTTTAAACGTCTGAAAACGATTTATATACAGCATAAGCAAGCTCACACACTTTTTGTGGTGAATCACTAACAATACGTGAATAATAACAACATAATATTTACGGATACATGGTGTAAAACATAGTTTTATTACTAACAGATATCGACCCTTGTGAAGAAGGAACACATAACTGCTTTCAAAGAAATTTCACTAGTTGTGTATTTGTCAGCTCTGAAATTTTCACATGTGAAGAGTGTCGTCAAGGATTTCAACAAGTTGATGATAGTTGTCATGGTAAGAGCTACATACTATACATTTTTTAAACACATTTTATAATATCGAAAAAACAATGGCGGCGATAAGTTACGATAATTTATATTTTCGTTCTAACATAGTGGTCAATAGGCCTACATTGAAAATGTAGCTGATATGTAAATTTTAATTTTTCAACGCAACACCTGGTTTTGACAGAGATCTTCACATAATACTCATTGTGACTATGTTTGTTAGTTAAACTACAGGGTTCTCACCATGCCGGTCGGCCCCGTCAGCAGTCAACAATTTCCCTCTGGCGCTCTGACGGGATGCCAACCACCACATCATTGTTAAGATTTTATTAAATTTTGAAACAATTAAGGCCTATTAACTCCAAATACATCGCTCTAAAATGAAGAAAATGAGATGATAATCAATGAGAAAATAAAAGCACGTCCCAAATGGCTACGTTAATTTTTAATTAAATTAAAATTGTGTATTAGTGAATATTTAAATAATTTTAAACAAATCCAAATACAATTCATTCTTAGATATCAATGAATGCGAGTCTGAACTCTGTGGAGAGAATACATACTGTATGAATACTGATGGAAGCTTCCTGTGCGAATGTAATGCAGGTTATATACAGGGTGATAGTGGATGTATAGGTTAGTGGAGTTAATTTTTTTTTTATTGTTGCTCATTTTATTCTTTACATTTAATTCACATCATGATGACCCTGGTCAAAATATAGTTCCTTTCAAAATCTACACATTTAAGAAACATAACACCATACTAGGCGTGAGTCTGAACTCTAAAAGATAATAGATTAAGATTTTTATATATTTTTCTTTTATTTTATAACAATTCTTTTAGAACCCACCACAGCAGGCGATCAAACTACAGTAGAAGCAGTGGAATCAAGTATGTCTACCTCAACAACAGTGGAACAAATGAAAACAGATGAAATAACTACAGCATACGGAAACATAAGAGGTGCATTGACATTCTTCTCTTAATTTTAAGGGACTTTGAAATCTATTTTTTCATTTGCTTTATCCACACTTATGATTTTGCGATAATTAGGCCAGGCCTGGCAATGGATGGGAACTCCCATGTATTGAAACATTTAAATGTATTGAAACAATGCAGGGAATTTTGCCAATCAAAACTGCTTCACAATACTTGACTCCACCTTAACAGCTCCCTCCTCAAAATCAAAGAAGCTATGTAAATTTAGTATTAACTATTACATTATTATTTACTAACTATTACATGTTAATTTATTTTCAATTTCATTGTATTCAACAAAAACTTTAGGTCGTTGGCCCATTGTATACTTACAAAATAACATAAAATAATAGTGAACAATGTGGAAGATTAACTGGTTAATTGTAAAAGTTTATCTGTCTATTTCGTGAATACTTACCTGGATAAACCGACTAATTGCCATTGTTTCTTTAAGAACACCCTACAAGTTTATCTCTGTTCTCTTAAATGTATGATGTAGATACATACATTGTTTTTATTACTACTGAACTGTGGGAACTCTACGATAACAACTGGAGTTGAAACATCTACTCCAGCAGGTACAATTATTGACATATATTCATTAAAGTTATAACAAGACTACCAAAACACAATACATTTTGCTTACTTTGCTTTTCTAATATAGTAACCTTATATAATACGTATGTTAAACATTCTTTATTTTAGTTACAACATTTGGTGTAAGCATTCCTATTACAGAAGTTGGAGGAACGGCGGCTGTATTTGTTGGTGACTTAAATGATCCAACATCTGCAATCTACAATAATTATGAGCAGAATATTTGTGATTCTGTAAGTTTAAAATCTGCTTTGAAAATACATTAAAATGGGTGAATGAGAGATAGTCGATATTCGACAATTGACGTTATTATAAATATCCAAAAAATGTTTATAAAAAATCAACAAAATATATTAATATTAATAACTACATATTAATTTTGTTGTGAATGTTTGCTCCTAATGTATATTCAATATTACTTGAATGTGTATTATTGTTATTTAAGGTTACATTCATATACGATGTAAGTACTGATATTTCCGACAACACTCAGGGTTGCTCAGTCTCGAGTTTTGAAAGTGGTAGTATTATTGCGAACGTAGAAGTAGAATTTCGTGAAGGCGTAACTAACGCTAACCAATTGCAAACGGTACTTATGGCTGCAGTTGAAAACAACACTTTAACTGGAACAAATTTTACTGTTAATAGTACATCAATAATCGTTATAGAAAGTAAGTTGCTATTACGGCCACTCACATCTTCTAATTATATATTAAAATGATGAATAGGTATAATATGTTACTATTAGGATTTAAATATAGAAAACAGTTTGTTAATAACATGCATACATTAGGTTCTACAATCGAAATATCTTCCAATTTTTAATAAGGTTAGTTTATTGAGCAATATTATATCATCAATATATTTTTGTGTACCGTAATTTGCTAATGGTATTGTTAATGCATGTGTCTCTTTGCAGTGCAATCAACAACAGTGCAGCCAAGGACTGTAGCTACAGTAGAATCCGGTACCAGAACAGTTGATAAAGTATCAGGAACTTCAGTCACTAGAGACCGAACTGCTTTAGTCACAGTGAGATCAACTACAGTAATAACAGAGGAGCTAAGTATGATAGAAACAGTGAATCCGAGTAGGCCTACCGAAACTGTAGTTAAACCAACTACAATACTCACAGTCGTACCGAGTACTGAAGTCTTAATAGAACAAACTACAGCGCTAGCAATGGAACAAACCACGATAAAAGTTGACACAACAGTAGTTGATCTGGAACATTCAACAGTAGCCGTAGCGGAGCCAAGTACTACAGCGACATTAAAACATACTACAGTGGAAGCAGTGGAATTAACTACAGTGGAATTGGAACCAACGACTAAAGGAAGGGACGAGCGAACAACGGAAGCCGCAGTAGAACAAACTACATCAGTAGCAGTGAAAACTACAGTAGAATTAGAAGCAGCTACAGCAGCCGTGATTAAAACCACGACAATGAAGGCATTAGAGTCAACAACAATGGTAAAGGTGGAACCAACTACAGAGGCTGCATTAACGCCAACTACAGCATCTGAAGTAGAGACAACTACAGAGGGCCGAGTAGTACCAACTACATCAGCCGCAGTAGAACCGACTACAGTGTCCGTACCAACTACTGCAGCTACACTTAAACTAACTACAACTGCTGTTGAAACTGGTTAGTTTTTTAATTTTGTTAATAATTTAATTTTGTCTTATTAAATTTTTAAAAGTATATATAATAAGCCTATAAATAATGAATACTATATTATAATGTATATACCTTATATTTATAGTGTATATTTAAAAAGTAAAATTTACTTTTATTCCAGCAACATTTGTTGTAAGCCTCCGTATTACAAATGATGGTACAGCAGAGGCAGTGTTTGGTGATGACTTAAATGATCAAACATCTGCACGGTACATGCAATATGAGCAACGTATTTGTGATTCTGTAAGTTTTTATAAAATACTTATTAACTTTAACAAAGGCTTCATATATACCTGTGTTTTATAAGACCAGGCAATATAACAAAAATCACAGGGAAATCAATCATACCTACAATATATTGACTATAATTAACATGCTAACATTACAGTATACAACGATAAAATAATTATTAATTTGTTATCTAAGGTTTTGTCATTTAATATTTTATTCAGGTGACAACTATATACGATGAAAGCAGTGACATTTCTAGCGCCATTCGAGGATGCTTTGTCTCAAGGTTTGATGAAGGCAGTATAATCGCAAACTTACAAGTCAAATTTACAGAGGGTGCCACCGACGCTAGTGAGCTACAAATGGTACTCATCAATGCAGTTGGTTCCGGAATTTTACCTGGCACTGCATTTACTATTGACACTGCCTCTATAACTGTGATTGAAAGTAAGTTTTTAGTAACTTGGAAGCCAATATTTTATGTTGCTGTATTAATGCTGTAAAATGTGATATGTTAAGCTGTACAAGTGTTTTGGTCATTCAACAAGTCTTAATGCTTTAATATTTAATTTCTTTTTATATGTCTGAATCGCATGTAAATTATAACATTATAGATAATGTGTACTTGTAAATACCTGTACAGTTTTTTTTAAGGTGAGATGCGTTCAATTAAATGCGGTTGGTATTTATTTCAGTGACATTATGTGCTTCCGGTTTCTGTGAAAACGGAGGAACTTGTGATGATAGTGTACAACCACCTGTTTGTACATGCCTTCCTGAATACAGCGGCGATAAATGCCAAGATAAAAATAGTAAGTTGTAACTAATAGTATAGGACATGACTAAGATTTGTATGCACTTAAGGAGAGAATATCTCAACAGATAATAACTAATTTGAACTCAAGAAACAACATGGAGGAATGTGTGCAATAATATGTATCCGGAACGAACAGCCCGAAAATGACCACACCCTTTTTCATTGGAAGTGCTACATTAAACAGAAAGCTAGACAATATTGCAAAAAAAAAATTAAAAAAAAAAAAAAAAAAAAAAGTTTTCTGTTTAATAGAAGAACACATACGATGAGGCGATCAATTTTTCAGAAATCTCACCATAACCACAGGTCCCGTTCACGGAAAGTCCCATTCATATGGAAATTAGATAAATAATGATAAATGCAAAAAATAAAGGCCACGCCCCCTTTTGATTTGAAGCACTATTACGAAAATTAGATTCTGAAATCGTTTAAGTCGGATACGGCAATGTAAAGAGTATAAATATTTATAAAGTATTCAAAAATATATTCAAGGATATTGAGAAGTCATTATATTTTATCGTTTAGATTGGGAATTTTTAGCAATCTTTGATAAAATATAATATGACATTTTTCAATCCTTGCGGTACACCACGTACATCCTGAAAAGAACTATTGTTTTGTTGAGAATTCTCGACGTTTCAATTGATATTATTCTCCTGATGACGATTGAAGCAACTCAATCGAAACGTCGACATATTCTCAACAAAACAACTTCTCAAAACTATCTACGTGATGTACCGCAAACATTTCATACATTATTACTGTGACATGCCAACATTCAAACAGTATAATAATGACAACAATAGAACAATGATTTCGGTGAAGTAAAAAAATATTGCAAACAATGATTTTTCTTCTATAAACACATATAAGGCGATAAAATTTCAGAAATCCCACCGGATAGTACAATTCAAAAAACAACTATAGGTCTAATAATGAATTATTGTGATGTTAAATAGACAATGTTAGCTATCAAGGAGCGACGTTGTTTTTCATTGGGACTTTCGTCCCTTCAAGGCTTGGCCTACCATCCTAGCTAGTCTAGAGTAGGATAAAGCTAGCGCGACATGCGGACGTTGGTACGTGTAGGTTAGTCTACAAACGTTGCCTAAAGTAATTGATTTTACCCGGCAGAACAAAAGAAAGAAACTCCGCTTTTCAGTCGTCTTAGGCCCTTCTTTTTTGACAAACAATGACCTTTCAGAGGTCAAATTGCTGTCAAGAATATGAATTGGCTGCTTATATGTTCAGATGTCCTAGCCTATGGTTTAAAATAGTGCTTCAAACAGAAAAGGGGAGTGGCACTTTTTTTTTTTGCATATTTAAGCTAATTTGCATATGAACAGGACATGTGACCACAGTGTGGTTTCTAAAATTGTACTTCCTCATCATATGTGCACATTAAATTAAGAAAAATCCTTGTTTGCAACATGTTCAGTTTTTCTAGCCTACCATTAGTTTACCGGTAGCCTTCCAATAAAAAAGAGGGCGTTTCCATGTGAACGGGACTTGTGATTAAGGTGGGATTTCTGAAATTTGATCCACTTATCATGTGTGTTTTTTTATAAAAGAAAAAACCTTTTTTTTGCAATATGTTCATATTGTCCAGCCTACTGTTTAAAGTAGCACCTCCAATAAAAGGGGCGTGGTCATTTAAAAAAGGGTGTGGTCATGTTCCGACTGTTCGTCCTGGATACAGATTTTGGCACAAATCCATGTTGTTACTAGGGTTCATATTGATCTATATCAGTTGAGGTATTCTCTCCTAAATTATACAAGTCCTCTACTGTAAATTAACACTTTTAAAAGCCGGGCACATTGCAACGAGGGGTCGGCCGACGCGATTTCACTGAGAACGCAACCGGACGAGGCGCGCGGAACGATCGTTTTTAATTAACGTAGTTTTTCACTCAGACAATCACCTATTTTAAAGTAATAATCTAAATATTTACTATATTGCCTTAACATTGTTTACAAGTCGTTAATATTTTTTTTTTTTTTTTTTTTTTTTTGGAATGGCTTCGGATTAACTTGATATTGTATATCAAAAAACTGTGTATACAGCACTTTACAAGAAAAGTATCCAGATAGTGTATAGGCTTAAAATAATATAGGATTTTGTTTCTTTTAGATGCTAAAAATCTAATTTTTAATCTTTATAAATAAATGTTGCTTGAATTCCTAAATAAATAATATTTTATAATAAATTGAAGAATAATTTGTGACTTATTCTGGTAAACCAATTATTTGTATGATAAAGATTGTTTGTGTAAGTAGTGACAAAATTAAATTTACAATGAGCACGGTGCATCACACGCTAATAGCTAAAGGTTTTGAAAATAAGTTGTTTCAATATTAACAACTTTCATGGGTCATCCTGGCATCCTTGTTCTTTGTATGTTGAATGTCTTTTATAATTTTTGCCCATTGATGTAGTTTAATATATTCTGGTTTTTTATATTTTAAGTAATTTATAGGTCTTTCTACTGTATCTTATGCTGTTTTTTATTCTGATGTCCGACGTTTTAATCATTTTACATGTTTTTTATGATGCTAAATAAAGAAATAATTACATAGACTTAAGGTTGTGCTTTTACAGACTATAACTCGATTTTCCATACTTAAGTTCAGGGTTAGAGTACGCCCTTCCTAAATATCATGAAAATACTACTTAGTTTTGCGTTTAGCGTCTAAATATATTGTACACTGCCATATGATTATAGGCTTATATGTATTTTTTTACTTTTACGTTTCAGATACGATTTATTATATCGTAATCGGCTCTTCTGTTTTATTTGTGGCTCTTCTACTTGTCTGTGTCTCAGTCCTTACTTGGTTGTGTATCTACAGAAGGAGAATAGAGAGACGAAGGAGCCTTGTTTACAAAGATCCTCGTCAGAAAATGCCATACCGGTTTGGTCATTTGGATGCTCAGAGTGTGTCAAGTACATCTCAATCTGATGAAATCCTTGCCCAGTACCAACATGGTTTGTTGCGCACATCACCAACTGGGGTAAGGATAAGCTTAGCAAACTAATATACTTCTGAATACTGAGTTGATTTTTGTTTAAATTGCCTACAAATTCGAAGGATATATAAATAAGAAATATTATTATTATTATTATTATTATTATTATTATTATTATTATTATTATTATTATTATTATTATTATTGTTGTTATTATTGTTATTATTGTTATTATTATTATTATTATTATTATTATTATTATTATTATTGCTGTTGTTGTTGTTATATTATCGGTCTGACATTTATTATATTCTTGTAATTAGTTATTAAAAAATTGATTGAAATACTGTTCACCAATATTTTCTCATTCAAAGGTTGGTGCTTACATCCAAGCTATGCCTGATACCGAATTCTATCTTCCTTACGTAGCAACTGGTGAAGAAGGGTTGGTAAGTAATACATATTACATTGGTCACATTCTATTCACTTTCATATATGATAGCACATCAATTGCAATTATTTTTTAAGAATCCATTTCACCATGTCTAGGTCTACTCAGGTTAAAAATTACATTTTCAATAATAAAAAGACCATTTAATGTTTAACCACAGATGGAATATTATATTTAATCACGAATTTTTCAACAATTTGTACAATAGTTTCAATTTTTTTTTTATTTTGATAGCATGTGTACGACAACAGAGGCAGAAGTAACTTTGACGAAGAAAGATGGCTCGACCGGCGCAAAGACTACCAATACTAAAGCGGAAACAATGGTTGCATTGAAAGTGCTGTAAAGATACAGACAATAGACCCACTAAAAAAAACAAAAAACAATTAGCATATATTTCATTATAATCTCCAAAATTTACGATGCTTTCTATTTTTATGAGATACTTAATCAAAATTATGATAGTGTTTTTGAAAGTTTAATTAATGCATGTAGTTGAAAAGAATTAACTTAGAAGAAAATGTATGGCATATACATCTAGATGTGTATAAGAGACAGTATATATATATATATATATATATATATATATATAAAATTATATATATATATATATAATTTACTGAGGGAATATATTATAGATAAGCTAAAATTTACTTATTATGATCTTTCATCATAGCATATGCTTATTACTAATTTGATTAGCCCACCTTATTTTACTACACAGAGTACATTAACGGTTTGTTTTCAGGCCAAGAAGCAGTGGATGACAGCTTTTGGGACACCCTCCCCTCCCCCTCTTTCAGTTTGCGTGTATCTCATGTTTATATCTTTGTGTCATACAGTAACTTTACTAGCTAGGACGTCTTACGCTGAATTACGATTTGATTGATGGAAATATATTATATTGAATGATTGTTTTTCGTGATTAGAATGTGAATGACAAGCCAGGCATAAACACGATCTTACTTATAGAGATCTGAGACCACCACATAATGAGTGGATAGCCTGCTGTATAAAACTCCCCAGAACATTAACACTACGCAGGGTCTGCTTGCATTACAGGCCATTCCTGATCACGTGATTCATCGTCTACTCAATTCGATTTACTGCGCCTAAATTTGACATTAAATTTGCTAAATATGGTTTTATTTGTTTTACTTGATATTAGTTATGCAGTATATATTGTATTTTTAAATTAACAGACACTTCAGGTTCACTCCCAATCATGTTCGACATGGTCTACTGCGCCAATCGTGTGTTCTTCTTTTGTTAGGCCTACTTGAGTGGCAGAAATGTGTTATGCTGATCATAAATACAATAATGGTGATATAAAAGTGGTTAATTAACGTTGTATGCTAACTTGGGCTATATAAAAACAATATGTTACTAGATAAACCAGAGAGTTGTTATATAACAACTCCCGGGAAAAACTATTTCACATCAATTTATCATCCAGAGTTCAAACATCCGACATGTTTATTTTGAGCATGTGGTAACCACCTGCATAATAAACATGGAATGGAGAGGGAAAATACCTATATTGTTACCCACAAAATAAACATGTAATGGAATGGTATAATATTTTTTTGTTGTTGTCATGAAATAAACTTAGATGCAGACATAACAATGACATTAGCAGTTTTTTTGTGAATGAATTGTTATTGCCTTCTGTTCACCATCTTTGGAACCGGGATTTAAGAAACTAAGATTCCTCCGACAGTTGCAAAATTTGGCCTGCTATCGAAACCGTCCATCCTCTTAATAATACTAATAATAATAAATTATTGGGATATGCGAAACGGTGGCCCACCACCGATTCTATCTAAATGATCTGATAAGTATCAGTTTCGGTCATGATGACTTCACCAAACATGGAATTTTGATCAGATGTTGATGACTGGTGCTGGCACCAAATAGAAGTGTATCAGCATTTTATTTGTCACCGAAACTGATCATTTAGGTAGAATCGGCGCGGGGCACACAACGTCCACAAGGGCGGTAGATCCTAAAACAGAAAAGTTTAATTTCGAACAATAGCAAGCAAAATGAAAGACATTACTTCAAAAGAAATAAAAATAGACTTCATCTGACTAGATAACTCATCTCTCTCTCCTCTCCCTCATCTCACATCATCCCCTCCCCCTCTCTCTCCGGCAACAGCTATACGAAACCGGAGCACCTACACGGAATGCCCAAACCTATGGCGGTTCAACTGTGTCATAATTACTACGCGTAGTACGCGTACTGCACGTAGTACACGTACTACGCGTAGTACGCGTACTACACGTACTACGCGTACTACACGTACTACGTATGACACAGTTCCACTCGCGGTAAAATTGTGTCAAAACACCACGTGTTAGAATCATGACCATCGTAAGCCACCAATTTACTGTACGTATAACGTCTAATATCTACTGAACTGCATCTAACATTATTTATAATTATTTATTTTTCGGCCTCCCCCCCACTTGGACATCTCTGGATCCGCCGCTGACAATGAAACCATTTCCTTAGGTGTCATCCAGGTTTTCATAACCATCACAAAACTTGACCAGCAAATGTAGCAACTTACTAAACTATTAACAAGGATCGCTAATTTTGAAAATATTTGCTTGTGCATTTTTTTTTTTTATTTCCAAGAGGTCGGTAAACTTAGGCCTACCAATTACGAAATGCATTTCCTATATTTATCAATCGGTAAATCTGCACCGCGACGATACAAAGTTAAGTAACTACCAAGACAATATGATGAATAATAATTACAACATTCACGAAGAAATCATTTAGTCAATCTAAAGTCACATTTACACTAGACACGACAACAACACGACAAAGATGCGCGCACTATTGAAGAATACAAACTATGCGATGATTTGTCGTTGTCGTATCGTAATCGTGTCTAGTGTAAATGTGGCTTAAAGCTGCATTCACATCAGATCCAAACTAAACTTAATAGAACCGCATTTCCGATTATCCACACTAATTTGATTTTCTGATCAGTTCGGTAGGCTTCCCGATCCGAAAATTAAGATTTGGTGTGAATGTAGCTTTATGGTGTATTTTATATCGAGCTGCTCGTTCAACTAACTACGGAAGCACCTAAGTGCCATTCGACTTGACGACGTGTCAAGATAATTTATGTCGTCAAGACGACATAAAAATTATACATATGTCGACCTGTCGAGATCAACTATCTTGCCAAGACGACATACAATTTGCATTATGTCGACTTTATTTATGTCGATAAATTATGTAGCCATGACAACATAATATTTTTACTATGTCGACTTGACAAGATAATCTATCTCGCCATGACAACATAACATTTTTACTATGTCGACTTGACAAGATAATCTATCTCGCCATGACAACATACAATTTTTATTATGTCGACTTGTCAAGATAATCTATCTCGCCATGACAACATAACATTTTTTCTATGTCGACTTGACAAGATAATCTATCTCGCCATGACAACATATAATTTCTATTATGTCGACTTGTCAAGATAATCTATCTCGACATGACAACATACAATTTTTTATTATGTCGACATTTCAAGATAACCTATCTCGCCATGACAACATAACATTTTTAGTATGTCGTCTTAGCAAGATAGTTGATCTCGACATGTCGACATGGGGTCAGTGCATTTGTCCTTTGGTCCGTAGGTCTATTGGTCCGAAGGGCCTTTGGTCCAAAGGTCCGTTGGTCCGAAGTAATTAATTCAAATCCCTGCCGCTTGGCTTGTTGGCCACTTTTTAAGAATTTTTACTATGGAAATTAATTTAGGGACCGATCGTGTGCGACGGTCCATTTGCCTTTTGTCGTAATAAATCACGACCGAATCACACTATATCTGATCATGTGTTACTTTATTGTGTACAGTGTATTGAGGGTGACGGTCAAGAGTGGATGGGGCCTTATAGTTAATTCTTAGCCCAGTAGACACAAATATATTTGAAGAAAACACATGTTCGGGACCACCACGTAGGTCTATATTGGCTAACAATATACAATTATTGCTAGCATGACTTGTCATCTCAGTTTATGTATATTTTTAACAAATTATTAGAAATGAAAAGATTCCAAGCGAATGGAGCGTAAGTATAACTTCCTAATTTTAAAGCAGGAGTATATAAATACCGTATATACTCGCGTATAATAGGACCTGGCTTATAATAGCAAATTACGATCGAAAAAAAGGGGGTCGTCTTATACGCACGACACTCATATTTTAGATTTTTATAATCATGTTCATCTTATGTGCGGATCGTCCGTAACACGCGAACTTACTAATGTAGTGAAGCAACTAAATGTTGTATGAATGAAAGCAATTTCAAATACGGGAAAATACGATTTTGATGGTGAAGATTTAAAAACTCCTTGCATTTGGCTACATTTATCCAGCAGATGCAGTATCAGGACCACACAAAATTAGGAATTTCGACCGTGAAACAGGGAGTCGTCTTATACGCCAGACATACAAATATCAACCAAAAATCTTCTAAAACTCGGGGGTCGTCTTACACACGGGTCACCTTATAGGACATACGCGAGTATATACGGTATACTTATTAGGTAACCTCTGTGAAAGTTCGGGTTCCAGTCACATAATCAACGGTTGGTTGTAACAATAAACTCGCAAGACTGCTCGCGACTACTAGATTCTACAAGTGTGTGGTTGGCTGGGTTGTTTTGGTCGGAAAGGAGAAATTTTCTCTGTGAACTGATCGTGTATGAGTGCAGACGTGAATTGAGGAGCTCTGTTGATTAGCATTGCAACTACGGTAATCGGTAAGCCTCAGGGACGTATCCAGGGGGAAGCCGTGGGAGCCGCGGCTCCCCCCCCCCCCTTTGTACACAGTGTTAAAATTTTAAAGCTTATTCTTGAGCCAATACAAATTCATTCCTGGGATCACTTAAAATGAATACTTCTAAACATGTAAATATGCATCAGTACACGTTATACATAGGCCTAATAGAACACATAAGCCTAAGCGTGATTTAAAAAAATTCTTAATCCATAAATCTCAGGCCAGTTATTTTAAGATAGAAATGCGATACTGTGGTTCAATTTCGTTTTTATCCTTTTGCAAGTTTCTTTAAATGTGTGTTTAATAATACTACTACTAATAGTAATAATAATAATAACAATGATGATGATGACGATAGTAATAATTGATATTAATATTAATAATAATAAAAAGTGAAGAAAATTGTGCTAAGAAAATCGTGCTAAAGACAAAAAAAGAAAGGATTTGTTGATCATAATATAGTATATATAGTTAAAGCTTAGTAAGCTATAATTAGGCCTAAGTTGTCCTGGATATTAAGTAGATCCCTGATAAAAGATCATGAGAAATTTGTAGG